TATATTTTTTGTTAGATATAAATATCTTGTATTTATAAAGAAAAAAAATACTATTTACATTTATTACTATGCTTAGACCATGTATACGATCTGATGTGTCTCTGTTCACATCTGAAGATTATTCATATATTATGCAATATCGTGATATAAAATCAAGATATAAAATTTTAAATGAGTTAATGGATAAGTATAAAACATCAACAAAATGTATTTATCAGATTTGGAGAGGAGAAGAATATAATAGAGTTCTTTGGGATCAGCCTATACCTCACTCGAATGATGACGACTCTAATTGAAATACTAATGTACCAAATTCTACCATGAATGTTCTACATATAGAATCTCAACCTTTAGATAAGAACAAAGTCCCATTGCTATGCAATAATGTATCAGCTGAGGTGATACAGCCAAATAAGCGAATAAAAATAAAAAGATCTAAGCCCAGTCGAATATTCAACTCACCTATCATTGCCAAAGACTCCACAGAAAAAACAGATGGAAAGCTCTTATATTCCGAGGATACACTAGTCTCTTTTAGACATGCAGTAGAAGAAGGTAAGAAAAATTTATTCAGGATATAAAATTGATAAGTTATAAACTCTAGAGTTTGTCTATTCTACTTTCTATTTTCTTTATTGGATAATTCAATATAGCAATGAATGAGAGCATTAAGATTGGTGATGATTTTAGTTGTATTATACATTTCTTCCTCATATCTCTCACAATTCATGCATTTTTTTTTAAAGTCGAATTATCAGAATCTAGGCTAAAATCCGCAGGAGCATATTATTTTTTCAATGGATTATTATCACTCTCATTACTATCTGCCTCTTGAGAAATTTGATCAGGTATCAAAGGCTTATTGCAAAACAATGGAACTCTGTTCCTATCATTCTGAGATGCAATAGTGCAATTTACTTCAAGTTTATTCTTGACTTTGTGCATAGTGACCGGAATAATAAAATCTTCTCTATTGTAATGAATTTTCATTTTATCATTATCCCAGTCTACAGCACATTTATATTTTTTAAGAAGTGAATTTGGAAATATTAATGTCAGTTTAGGAACTCGAACAACTACAAAATCTTCACATATAGTAAAACTAAGGTTGCTTGCCAAAATCTCTTAGTGACTGTCTAAATTCTGTCGAAATTATAATAAACTATTAGTAAATAACC